TCGATGGTCTTTTATGGACGGAAGGTGGCGATGAGAAGGTCGGCCCATTGAAGGAAGGTGATGCGGGGAAGGCCGTTGGCTCGGTGGTTGTTGGCTTCGGTTAACCACCATTGAGCGGCGRCRCCTTGGAGGCGGGAGGTTGCGGTGGGGAGCCAATGAGCGAGGGGCATGTTGTGGAGATCGAAGGCGTTTTGAATTTGAGAGAGGAAAAGGAGGACGTCCTCGTGGGGGAGACCGGAGAACGTCGCGATATCGGTGGAGCGGAAGGAGCGGGGAATGTCCCCGTTGCGGGGGACGATGCAAGCGAGGGTGTTGAAGTTGCGGTCGTCGGGAGAGGTGTCGTAGCAGGTGTGATCCTAACTGCGGTCACCAAGGAGGTAGCAAGGAGGAGGTTGGAATATGGCGGGGTAAACGCCCGAAAGGAGTTGGGAGTAAGAGGGGTGGACAGAGGGGATGATGGAAGTAATGAGGATAGGTTGGGTGAAGGGGGAGGAGAGGTGAAGGGGAGTGGTTMGTGTAGTGGTGGAAGCGCTTGTAGTAGGTTGTGAGGAGGGGAGGGAAACGGGAAGGGAAGTGATGGGGGTGGAAGAAGGTGTGGTGGAGGACGGTGGGGGGGTGGTGTTGGAGGATGAGGCCTGGCCGGCTTGGCCNAGGGAAACGGGAAGGGAAGTGATGGGGGTGGAAGAAGGTGTGGTGGAGGACGGTGGGGGGGTGGTGTTGGAGGATGAGGCCTGGCCGGCTTGGCCGGCGGAGAGGCTTTGGGCAAGTTGGCCGGAAGAAGATGGTCGGCCGGTTTGGCCGGCGGGGGTGGATTGGATGGATTGGCCGGAGGAGGAGGGGGGTGATGACGTTGTGACGATGGTGATGGCGGGTGTGTGGTTTTCGAGGGAGGTGACACGATCGGATATGGAGATCATGGAGGCCTCGATTTTGCGGAGCGAGGCGGAGAGTGCTTGAAACATGGAGAGGAGACGAGTGTTCTCCTCGGTGCCTGGCTGGTCGACAAGCTTGCGGTGGATATCCTCGACGGAATCCATGCGGAGCGAGCCCATGTTGTTGCTTGAGGTGCCTTCGGCCATGGGGAGGGACGAAGGTGGGACAGGGGGAGAAGATGGAGTGGAGGGGACAACGGAGGTGGCAGCAGCGGCGGCAGCAGCGGCGCGTTGGGCGATTTTGGGTAGGTGGGGTGGCATGTGGTTTTAGGGGGGGGGGGTTTAGAAAAACGATGGGTGATTTAAATTGGACTTAGGGGGAAGGTGTTATGGGGGGGGAAAGGGGGGGGGGAGCGGGAAAAAAAATTCGGGGGAAAAGGAAAGGGAAAAATTAAAATTTCAAAATAATGAAATTTAAATTTATTCGATTAATTTTCAGAAAGGAAAAAACTCTTGGAAAGAAAATTTAAAGGACAATAAAAAAAATTCGGGCTATTTTAGGTGACAAAATGCTAAAATTTTAAAATTGGAATAAATGAAAAAAAGTTCAAAAAAAAAAAATTGCTTTATTTTACGGGTTTATTTCGATTTTTTAACGAATTTAAATGATAATTATGAAATTAATTTAAATCGGGATTTTCGAATTACTTTGAAAAAGGAAAAGAAATGTTGGAAAAGAAAAAGGACAAATTCGAGAAAAATAAAACGAAATTTGGAAAAGAAATTCGAGATTTTTCGAAACGAAAAGAAAGTTGAATTCGGAGCTAAAAGTTGGTTTGGTTCTTTTTTGGGATTTAATTATTTAAGTAATAAAAATGTTCGGGTTTGTAAAAGTTTAAATTTGTACGAAAGGTTCAATTTTAGCCGAAATTCGCAAAGAAATTTTTGAAGAAGGGAATAATGTTTTTGAATTAAAAGAAATTAATTTTGAAGAAGTTTTTAAATTCGAAAGTATTTTCAAATTTAAAATTTCGGTACGAAAAAGAAATTTTGAATGCAAAGATTCGAAAGGAATTGCAATTTTTGGGTGAAATTGAAACGTTTTTCACCTTTTAGCAGTAGCAGATGTAGCACCCAGGCTTCGATCCCTAGACCTCGCCCTACCCATGTACAGTATCTGTGTAGACCCCGAGAGTTGAACCTGTGATCTGTGTATTCGTAGACAGTTGGTAGGTCTGTCATAGGTCCGTAGGTAGCAGGGGTTCGATCTGTGGATCTATAGAGTAGAAGTTTTAGTGAGTTCCAAAAGTCTAGCTGTAGTCTAGCTGAGTTCCAAAAGTCTTAGTTGGTAGATCTATGGAGTAGCGAAGGAGGGAAAGAGAGGACAAAGGGGGAGAGACCGAGCACAGTGAGGGAAGCCATAGCCGAGAAGAGGCAAAGGAGGAGCCGATAAAAAAAAAAAAAAAAAGAAGACAGTCGGGGTGAAAGGAGGCGAGGAAGGTGAAAGGCAGAAGAGGGTTGACGAGGAAGAGGAGTCGGCCGCCATAGTTGACCGGAGGGTTGACCAAGAGGGTTGACTGGAGGTGTTGACCGGCGGTTACCGGAGTTGGTCAGGGGTTGACCGGGGGCTGATAGCAGCCTTGACCGACGTTGAGCAAGACTTTGACCAAGCTGGAGCAGGTAACATCTCGCCAAGCCTTCAGCCTATCCCTCGCCCTATGGATGTGCACACACCCCTTGGTACTTGCTGAGTCTAGTCTGTCTGTCTATTCTTTTTGCATCGAGTCTCTTCTGTCCTAGGTGATAGTACTCTGTGGATGAAGGATAGGGTCTTGTTGACCAAACCCACACGGGATGAGTAGGGCTAAAAGTTGTGTCTGACGACTCGACTGTCTCAGAGGACATGAACCCTCCCAAGGACCGGTACGGACCGACGGGCTGCTGGGTGTGGCACGGTAGGCCCGAAATCCGAGCTGTGGGCTGCACAACAGACCGTCTAAGTCTTGAGAGACCTGCTGATCGCATCGTCCTGTCTGCGACGTTAAATAATTCCTGAGGAGTTCGGGGGATCTCCTTAAATGCCTCCTGATCAACAAAGGTCTAGTATTGACAGCCATAGTTAGGTCCAGGCTAGAGACCCTTGTTGGCAGGATCCCTGTCCGGATTCTGTGAGTCTTAGATTGAGTTTGTAGGTCTGTCGGTCAGGGGTTAGAGTCTACGTGGTGAGGTTTGGAACCACTGATCTGGTTGTACACTTATCACCATGGTTGACACCCGGAGGGGGTTGAGCACTAGCCCTTACACTCAGGAACAGCAAGAGAAAATGGTCGCCTTAGTGAGAGAGAACAAAGAGAGGAAAGAGCTCCAGAAGCAGGCGAAGCTAAAGGCTATCGCAGAGGAACAGGCGGGTAAGATGAAGAGATTGGAGGAGGAGATGAAGAGAGTTCAGAAGGAGGAGGAAGAGAGGAGAAAGGTTGCCGAAGAAGAAGCAGCAGCGGAGGAAGAAAAAGAGAGAATGAGGATTGAGAGTGGAGAAGGGGGTAGTGGCACGAAGAGGGATAAAGATGCAGAGATGGAGAAGAAAATAAGTGAGTGGGTCGCTAATTTATCGTTGGGAGAAGACAAGGAGGCGGAGTCTTATGTGACTTAGGATGAGAGGGATGCGCTAGCGAGTGAGCTAGCAGCAATGAAGGACCCTATGGAACGGCGAGAAAGGGAGGAGGAGCATAAGTTGGCTTGGAAACTGAGGATGAAGAGGGAGAAGAAGAGGAGGAGAGAGGAAGTCAACAAACTGACCGCAGAGGTGGCGAAGGTACAGGAGTGTAGGAAGGAAGTGGAGGCCCAAGCAGACGACAAGGCCAAATGGGATAAGGTGTTGGGCTACCTTGAAGTGTTGAGCACGACATGGATGGAGGAGCTCCAAGCCAGTTGGAGCCAAGAGGTAGCTTTGAGTGCAATGCGGTTGGGGCTTAGAGATTTTGCGCGCGAGATAGTCACCCACATTGGGGGCGAAGTTAAGCATCTGAGAGACAATGTGGGGAAGTTTTGTGAGGGCGCTATTGAGGGCGCCGAAGCGATAACCGCTGTAGAGGGCGAGGCCAGGCCTCGCAAGGACCCAGTCAAGCTTAAGTTCCCCGATGCTGATGGGGGGAAATCTAACGAGAACTTCGATAACTGGGAGGCTAGTGTAAACCGCTGTCAGGACAAAAATCCCTGTGAGGGTTTTTGCCCGAGGTTTTCGAGGTCAGACACTGTCCGACCTTTTTGTTGGATTAGGAAACTTGATGAGATTGACGTTGTCAAAGTTATTCGGGCCTGACCTATGACTGATAGACAAAAAGTTTCAGAAGTTAGTCCGAACGCGTGTGGTGTCCAGGAGTAACAGATGTGAATGGTAATGCTTCGTTTTGTCGAAGCCGCAGGAGTGTGCGAACATGGGAACGGTAAAACTCGACCTATTCTACCTAAAAGAGAGACAGCCGCGCGATTCAGGGCCTGAATGGGCTAAAAAGGGGGATGCGCCGGGTATAGTGCCGCGACGCAAAAGGAGTGGGGAGTTTTGTTTGAACCGTGGAGGTTGACACCGAGTCAGGGGGTTGCTAGGCCAATGCCAGGGTCGGGCAGCCGTCCGACAGGGTAAGGCTTGCAGGCAGGGTCTACAAGGCCGCAGACAGGCAGGGCTTGCAGGACCACAGGCAGGCAGGCATGGCCTGCAGGGCGACAGGCTGACGGGCTGGGCCTGCGAGGCCACAGGCAGGCGAGACCGCAAAGCCCCAACATGGGGGGATAGCGACTGGGCCAGCTCTTTATAGAGAAGAACTGCTCCTATCACTACCGTGATAGGAGCCAGCCCAGTAGGTTACAGCACTAGACTTTCACCCGTCGGGTACTGGGATCGAATCTGAGAACCCGCATACACCACTGGGCTAGCTCCTTTTGGAGCTGGCTGTTGCTGTTGGAGGCCAGCGCAGTCAGATCTGGCCGTCCGATGGTTGAAATCGCACGACCTAGATCTGGCGCACGCAGATCTGCATGGCCCCTGTGCAAGGATGAGACACATAAATCAAGAGATGGTCCAAAAAAAATTTTCGCACCAGGCAGGGCTCGAACTCGGGCCTGCGGTTTGGAGGACGTGGCTGAAGAGCCACGTGATTTCGAACGTTGGCATAAACCGACAGATCTAGGGGAAAAAAAAAAAAAAAAACCCTAAAAACGAACTAAAACGAAGTGCCACTTGGCACACCTGGATGTGGCTGGGGCATTTCAAGCCCCAGTGCTTTGACAGTGCCCGTCCGTTGAGAACGGGCAGCTATGGGCCTCGCTGCACCACTCTTGAAATGGGTAGAACGAGAGTGAATCGTCCGCTAGAATATGGAAAGATACACGACCATGATTTTTGTCTATTGTGCATTGCTAGATTAGTGCAGCAAGGCCCTATCTTAGGTAGATTTCCTTTTTTTGTTTTTCTTGTTATTTGTTTTAGATTCTGTCTAGATTTCTATTCTTATATTTTGTTTAGATTTTTCTTTTTCTTTCCTCTTGAGTACCTGTTCGTTTTTGAACGAACAGGCAGCTCAAAAGCTCGACTGTGCCAGACTGTTTCGTCGGGTTGCACCGACTCTTCAGGAGGTTGGGCCTCGACAGCCATCGACAGGATGGCAGAGTCGAATGAATCAGCCGCACGAACGCGGCTGTATACGGAGAGAGAGAGAGAGAGAGAGAGAGAGAGAGAGAGCTACTTACCTGCACCCGTTGGTTGAGCGACGGGCTGCAGACCGCCGCCTGCACGTGGCGCTGTGGGCGTCCGGGTACGGGCATGCGGGGGGCAGGGAAAAGAACCCCTATTGAGCTTGACTCTAGTATGACTTTGCGAAATGGCTAGGAGGGGGCGGCCGTTCGTTTCAAATGGCGAGTTCCCCCGTGCATAGAGAAACGAAGGGGGGTAAAAAGCAGGAAAAAAAAAAAGGGGAAAAAGGAAAAGGGGAGAAAAAAATATGACGGCCGCGAACGTGGCCGCGGCCATAGAACAGGTGCAGCCCCTAGAAGCTTCTAGGGGCTGATGGGACTGCATCTGTTCGAGTTGAGCATGCAGTCCTGAAATGGGTTGGTACTGCCATTTTGGACTGCACCCGACTGTCGGTGGCGGCCAGGTGCATAACCTAAGCCAGGGACTTGATGTTCCTAGTAGAACATCAGATCGAGGGCTAGGCTCAGCCCCGTTTTTTTGGCTGAGCCTCAAGTGGCTACCCACCACTTCAGCCCAGCTATAAAAGCAGGGCTGGCCAGCAGCAACCTCATTCATTTGAGGTGCTGCCCACACTCTGATTGAGTGTTGGCCAGCTGCTGGGAGGAGGTGCGACTGGAGCTGCTGGAAGGAGGAGGAGAGAGGAGGTCTGCAATGGAAGCTGAGTGGAGGCTGCCATAGCCACCATCTCAGCAAGGGTGGAGGTGCTGTCGGCCAAAGCCGCAGCCATGGCGACGATGGTGGTGGGGGAGGCTCTACTACTTTTCGGCAGCGGCTGCGGCGGTAGTGCGGAAGCGCTGCCGATTTTTTTTTGGCGGCAGCATTCTTCAGTGAGATCATGCTGTCGGAATTTGCGGCGGCAACGATATTTTCACTGGGTTTATGCTACCGGCATGTCGGCAGCACTATTATGAGGGAAGATGTTGCGGGTCCTCTGCGTCACAGCAGAGGCAGTTTTTGTGTGTGATCAGGTGAAGGTGTTGTGGGGCAGCCATGGTACCGGTTTGGACAGTGCAGCGAGCAGTGGTCCGCCGTCATTTTTGTGGTACGCTGCGGTTATGGTGGATTTTAGTATGGCCTGGAGGATGGACTGGCAGTGGTGCACATTTGGGAATGTGAGGCAATGGTGCATGGACCGGCAACATGAAGCGATCGCTCAGTGGATGCACGCAGCACTGGCTATTGGAATTGCAGCGCTCGCGATTCGCGCCGGAGGAACACCTTTATTTTTTTGGGACTCGCGGCACCTGCGGGTTTCACCGGGGCCACCTTTATTTTTTTGCGGCGCGCAGTGAAAGCGATGTTGAGTTCTGGACCATCTGGTATTGCGGGCGATAGTATGGGATTGCATTGGGACCATCTAGGACCTTTTCGGGACTAGGTGGGACTGGTTGTTGTAAGCGGGACCGACATGCTTATGTGGTTATTGTGAGCAAAGAGGATGTTGGGGCGGCATGGACTTGTGATTGGTTGAGAGTATCCTTAGTGGGGGGAAGTACAGTTGGGACTATGTTAGGGCAGCCTGGCACATTAAGACCGCGTGAAAACTCATTTGTGGGAACACCCTCCTGGAGGGCTATCTCGCTCGAGTTGTGTGGTCTAGCCTCTGCTCACTTGAGCAATTGGTGGAGGACGCCGGCCGTCATTCAGGAGGAAAGCCACAACTTATGAGTTGTGTGCCACATATTTTTCTACGGCAGTCATTTTCTTTTGGTTGGAATATTACCCGACTTTCTTGAGTGGGTCGGACCAAACTTCACTCGAGGTCAGTTGAATGACTCAGATTTCCCTTCGCACCTGTGTGAACCCACACTTGCTTGACCCTGTTCTTTGAATGTTCACTGAAGAGGTAGAGGAAGTTGTGTTTTGTTTGCACGTGGGAACGGGAGTCTTACCTGAGTTTGGGACTGTATTGTTTTCTTTTGAACTTGTTGTTTGATCTGATGTGCAGGTAAGTAGAGGGATGCTTGGAAAATGGAGATTTAATCATGTCAGCGAAAGTGAATGGAATGATGATTGTTTTCTATTTTTTGCTTGCATGCATGTCGAAAGGATGGAAAGACAGCAGACGACGAGAAACGGAGCGATCACACAATGGAGAAGAAGTGAATTGGACGTAAATTTTCCCTGAGGTTACACGTTCTCTCCCGAATGACCCTGTCTGCCTATACCCGTCTGGCTGAATGATTCTCTCTCTTTTCGTCTAGGTTCGCTCTTGACGTCAGGCGATGAGGGTTGACCGTCTGCTGTGGTAAGTGCATTTCCTTTCCCTAGGAGGCATCTGAGGCGGGGGTTCGTTGCCTTAGGGGCCGGCCCTGTTAACGACTCAGAGTGGACCGCTTAGGGGGGGGGATACCACGCTGTCGAGGTGGAGCCAGCCCGACATCTGAGATCCGAGGTTCGCTCGGGCGAGGACGAGGGGTTTCCAAGACCACCTCCTAGGGGATGGACGTGTGCTATTCACGGAAGGCGTTAAGTTCTTGACGGCTCACGTTAAGAAGAACCGTTATAGTTTACCCTTCTAGTGGCCGTCTTAGGAGCCACAAATGAATGGGGAACTGACGCCATAAGAAGCCCAGTCCGTGTGTTCACTAGCTATGGACGGAGTGCGACTAGGCGCTGCCTTCACGGACAGGTTTGCGCCATAAGAAATACAAGCCTAGGGCAATCAGGCTAGTTGACGAAAAAAATGTGACTTTGAATATCTTTATTTCGCAGGTTGGCATTTAAGTACTCGTGGAACAGAAAGAGTAATTACTGCCCAGGAGGACAAAGCGACCAACAAAATTTGAAAGTGGACCCTTGACCGTAATGAGGCATTCAGTGTCTGGTCGTTCAAGTCGAGCACTCTCTTGTATGGTGGTAGCCAGGTTACTTGCAGATGGCATTCACACCAAAGTTAGAAAAGTAGTGAAGTCATCATTAAAGCAATGACATCCTAGCTCTACTTGAGTATTGGGAATTGTCTGCATTCTTTTCTAACGGTTCATATGGGGTGGAATGAAAAAAAAAGTGGCGACACATCTCATCAAGGCGAAAGTCGTGACAACCCAAACGAGTGGTATGTATGATTGTGCCGATTTCAGAAAGTAACTCTTTTGTCCGAGTAGCTTTCGGTTGTCTTTGAAAGAAGGGACTAGGATTGATTGAGATTTTCTTACGCTTGGAATATCACGTCCTAGTCAACGGACGTCGGTCTGATTCCTGGGAGATCAGCGCCCCAGGGACAGACGACGTTCGGGTCCACTTTGGCGTTAACCATGAGTACCTATGCTACAGTGAACAAGCAAACGCCCTCGACTGACCTACCTCTGCAATTGCATCTAAAAGCTTTCGCATGTGGGTCGGTAGCTCGACGGGGATACGCCCCTAAGGGTGGTGACAGCCCCTTAGGGAAGGTAAGTTGTGCCGCGCGAGAACCTATCCTGTCGTAGGGGACCGTGGGATGTACAACTGGCGCACTCAGCCGGAGCGGCGAAGGGTCGACGCGGGGGCCGATGCGCTCGACACCGCTACGTTTATCTACAGCACATCGCGCAGGATGATCAAGTCCTGGTAGGCTTCCAGGCCCTCGAGGACGAAGCGCCTAATTTCGCTAGGTCTCTCGCGCGCGTGGCCGATTGTGAAAACAACATGGTCGCCTATTCCGAGGTCACCCCCTCCCTCAATTCTTCAAGCTCCTTAGAGAGCGCTTCGCTGATCTTCGCAAGGGCGTTTGAGCCTCTGACAAGCTCCAAACGATCCACTCACGACAGTGGAGGAGTGCCAAGGCACTCAAGGGCGTTATGGACGACTTAGTAGCCGTCCCAAACCATGGGGTAACTGATCCCCAACTGGTCCAATTATTTTATCGTGCCATGCGAGAGCCCCTGCGTGGGCACTTTTTTGATAAGTCCCAACAACCCACCATGACGTACGATGCGCTCAGTCGAGAGGTGGTGCCGTTTGAGGCCAACTCCATGCCAGTTTCCACTTTCTGGCATAAGGATTTAGAAAAGGGCAAAAGTTGGAAAGGCCGTACCATCTCAGGCCAGGTGAGGGCCAAGGATCACATACTTTAGAGGAAGGTGGTACTGATGAGGTCCGATACAGTCAGATTGAGTGGGGCCTAGAGGAGGAGGACAGTAGCGTGGGATAGGGGAGGTCCTATGCTGCTGTCGCGGCTGGAGGGAGGCCGCCAGTTAGAGGAGGAGGCCAGGGCCAGAGGGGCCAGGCCATGGGAGGCCGAGGACCGGGCGCACTGGGTGTTGGCGGACAAGGAAACCGCCAATTGGGAGGTAGGGGTCAAGGTCCCCGCCAAATCGCCAGAGTTCTAATCGGTCCCCACAGCGAAGAGGTGGAAGGCCACCTCAAGGAGGATGGCACCCAGGCTTGCCACAGGGCAGGCCCTGGGAAGATTTGGGCTTGGACCAACGCTTATGGCAAGAACGCGTAGACCAGGGTCAATGCATATTTTGTGGTGACCCGGCCCACGTAATCAAATTTTGTGCATATTTTGCGTAGACCAGGTCTTTGTAGGTTATGTTAGACCTGTCACTGGCTCTCTCAAATGAGTGTAGGCTCCCTAGTCCATCAGGGGAGGTCAAGACTGCCCGCCTGTTCCATGTGTCAGGTGTAGACAACACCTTGGCACACTTCTGTCTCAGTGCTCCCGCGTTCGTGCGACTAGTGAAGGAGCAGTTGGAGGACCAGGTCGTTGTAGTTTATGTTAGACCTGTCACTGCGGCCAAGAAAGAAGATAGTTCCACAGATCCAACCATAGCCAAGCTGCTGGAGGAGTTCAAAGACTTGAATGAGTCGCCGACAGGAGTAGTGCCGCGACCCATCCAGCACAGGATAGAGATAGAGCTTGGCAGTAGAACTCCTAAGGGAACAGTCTACAGGATGTCCCCTAGAGAGTTAGGAGTTGCGCAAGCAGTTAGACGAGATCCTCGAGAAAGGTTGGATCAGGCCCAGTTCGTCTGCTTTTGGAGCACCAGTCCTGAAGGAGAGCTGAGAATGTGTGTAGACTATAGGGGTTTGAATGCTATCACAGTGAAGAATGCCGAGCCGCTGCCCAGGATAGACGATCTCCTAGATCGGGTGCAGGGTTGCAAGTATTTCTCCAAGATAGACCTGAAGTCCGGTTATCATCAGATAGAGGTCCATCCTGATGACCAGTACAAGATTGCGTTACGGACTCGTTATGGGCACTATGAGCTTATAGTGATGCCCTTTGGACTAACCAACGCGCCAGCCACCTTTCAACGTTGTATGAATGACTTGTTTAGACCATGGTTAGACAAGTTTGTGGTAGTCTACTTGATATCTTAGTTTTTAGTAGGCCCCTCCAGGAGCATCAGGGTCATTTGAGGCAGGTCTTGGAGAAGTTGAGAGAGTCAAACTTCAAGATCAACGCAAAGAAGTGCGCGTGGTCTTATACTTGGGCCACGTATTAGACGGAGATGGCATCAAGCCAGAGGACAGCAAGATAGCGGCAATTAGAGACCAGCCGACGCCTTGCACATTGACAGAATTGCGGTCGTTCTTAGGCCTAGCTAACTACTATAGAAAGTTCGTAAGGAACTTTTCTACTATCACCGCTTCCTTGCGCAGGTTGCTTAAGAAAGAGGCAATCTGGCAATGGGACAAAGATTGTACGTCTGCACTAAAAAGATTGAAGCGTGCATCTACTAGAGCACATTGTCCTCAAAGTAGCAGATCCGTCCTTGCCGTTTGTCGTCACCACGAACGCAAGTCAGTATGGGATAGGCGTCGTGTTAAAGCAAGATGACGGCAATGGCTACAGACCCGTAGAGTTCATGTCAGCAAGGATGCCCTTAGAGAAGGTTGCCACCTCCACGTACGAGAGGGAACTCTACGCTCTCAGGCAGGCTCTAGAGCACTGGAAGCATTACCTGCTTGGGAGGCACTTCAAAGTGTATTCTGACCATGAGACCCTTAGATGGTTGAAGACTTGGTCCAAAATGACACCTAAGTTGACTAGGTGGGCCTCAGAGATAGACCAATATGACTTTGAGCTTAAGCCAGTGACGGGCAAGTACAACGTAGTTGCGGATGCTCTAAGTAGAAGATCATACTACTTTGGAGCCATAGTACATCATCTGGATATAGGGAGAGACCTGCAGGAGAAAGTGAAGCAAGCGTATGCGCAGGACCCTATCTATAGTGACCTCCTAAAGAGAGTTAGAGAGGCCCCAGAGACTGAGCCAGATTATCGCACTACAGACGGGTTGTTGTTTGAGAAGACTAACGTATTTGACCGCCTGTGCGTTCCCAACAGCGAAGAGATACGCAGCTTGATCCTAGGGGAATACCACGATACTGAGGGGCATTTCGGTTGGCAAAAGACACTAGCTAATCTAATGCGCGCGTACACTTGGCCAAGAATGAAGAATGACTGCAAAGTCTGTCAGAGGAATAAGACTACTACGCGCGCCCCTCTAGGTCTTCTCAGACCTTTGCCTATTCCTGATCAGCCAGGAGACTCAGTGTCCATAGACTTCATGGACACCCAAGTCAAGAGCAGACATGGTTAGAGCCAAGTCATGGTCATAGTTGACCGATTTAGTAAGTATGCAGTTTTTGTTCCTTTGCCTGCAGAGGCACGTACGAATTTAGTGATTCAAAAGTTCTTTGACTTTTGGGTTAGTGAGAATGGAATCCCATTGTCAATAGTTAGCGATAGAGACAGTCATTTCACCAGCCAGAACTAGCAGGAACTCATGCGAGTCTACGGATCTAAGCTATTGATGTCGTCTGGCCGCCATCCAGAGACAAACAGTCAGACAGAACAGATGAACAAGATCTTACAGCAAGTTCTGCGCATGTACATTTGACCCGATCAGATTAACTGGGACGAGATGTTGCCCGAAGTAACTAGCGCATACAACAACAGCGTGCATTTGTCCACCTGCACAAGTCCTTCAGGCCTCGCAGACCACTCGAAGGACTGAACCGGGATCAGATTCACAGGCTATCGCCCGACACTAGGGAGTTTGCGATACAGCACGAGAAAGAACTAGCAACAGTTGTAGAGAACCTCAGGAAGGCCCAGCACCGAATGATAGAATAGGCCAATAAGCATCGTCGCCCATCGCAGTTTCAGGTAGGCGACGTAGTCTGGGTCAAGGCTAAAGAGTTTGCACCTGAGGAAAACATCTCGCAGAAGTTACTGCCTGCATATAGAGGACCGTGGCCGGTTCTAGAAGTTAAGGGCGGAGAGGATGGACCGTCCTACACTATAGAGATTCCAGCACACTTCCACTCATACCCTGTGTTTCATGCTTCAAAGTTGCTGCCCTGTGTCACAAGTCAATAGTTCCCTTCAAGAAGATCCATGATCCCCCCGGATATGGATGAAAGTTATGACATTGACGACATTTTAGACGAGGATGTGTTCAGAACAGGAGGTAGAGGTCGTCCACAGAAACAGTATAAGGTCTGGTTTGCTTATCAGGAACCGGAAGAGGACTGCTGGTTCACAAGAACAAAACTTCTAGAAACAGCTCCCGACATAGTCAGAGCCTATGAGCGTGATAAGAAGGGTAAAGGTCCTGCCTTGGACTGAAATATCCTCGGAGGACCTCGAATTTAAGACAGCAGGAGTGAAACGGTTTTCACCTTTTAGCAGTAGCAGATGCAGTACCCAGGGTTCGATTCCTAGAGCTCGCCCTACCCATGCACATTATCTGTGTAGACCTCGAGAGTTGAACCTGTGACCTGTGTATTCGTAGACAGTTGGTAGGTCTGTCATAGGTCCGTACGTAGCAGGGGTTCGATCTGTAGATCGATAGAGTAGAAGTCTTAGTGAGTTCCAGAAGTCTAGCTGTAGTCCTTTTAGAAGCTCAACAAGTGGGCAAGTGGTCAAGTGGCGAGTCAAGTGGTGGACTAAACTGTAGTGCAATCGCAATACGACCTGGGTAGGATAGCAGTGAGTCCACAGTCAGTCAGCGGTAAGGTCCAATCAGTCCCAGTCCGGTCCAGCAAGTACCACGAGGGATTGTGAGCACCATGGGCCGATGGAAAGGGGCAGACCACCGAGTTTCAAAAGTATAAATCAAGAGGCAGCGCTCAACCTTTCATTCATTCTTGCGTGAGCCATGCGGAAGCGCTGTCACGGCGACTTGTGCAAGGAGTTCTGCAGTGAGCCCGGAGGATGCAGTGGGCAAGAGAGGAGGAGCTTAGTATAGCGATAGGGTAGGGGCAGCCATAGCTGCCATAGTTGTAGTTAGTGTAAAGTGTGTGTGTATATGTGCGAGTGTTCAGGGTTACGCGTGAGGGATATCTAGGGTGATCCGGTGTATGTGAACAGGGAGTTGTTGGGCGCTGAGTTGCCATAGCCAATTGGAAGTGAACTCGTATCTGGATACCATATCTCTGATTTTTGTGTGGGCGCATGTCGCCAGTTTGCTGCGCTGAAGAAACTGATTTCGAAGTGCAAAGTATTCGGAAAATTTTTCGAAATTCAAAAGTATTTCAGAATTCCAGAAAAAGGAGCTAGAGAATAACTAAATTGATTAATTTACAAAAATAATTTTCGAAAGATAATTGTCGAGAATAAGGAAATAATAGTCGTTAACTATGAAAAAGAGAACTAACTGCTAAAGAACAAATTTCAAAAAGAATTAATTTCAAAACGAACAAAAAAAACGGGCGAGTTTAATGATGTTCGATGATTCGTAAGCCTTGTCCTATTGTGCCATGTGTCGTGCGGGTAGGGGATGGAGCGCGAAGCAGGTGGGGAA